TCCTGCAACACGTTCTTTAGAAACGATAAAAGTTTCAAATAAAGGTTTGTTTGTTTGTAATTAAACAATAAGCTACACAATGGGTATCGGTATCGAAACCCGGATTCTAGCTTTGTAAGTCCGCACACATCCCGCTGTGTCAGTAAAGGAGGGAGGGGGGCTTCAAATAAAGGATAAAATAAATTTGACATGGAGACGGTAAAGTTCGAATACGTGTCTCATAATTACGGAAAGTTTATGTACAAAAAAAAATCATAATTTAACATTAAAAAAAGAGCGTAATTTAAAACTAACCAGTTTCATGAAACATTATCTCCCATCGTAAGGGTATTAAAGGTACAGTATAAAAGTATCAAATAGTTTTGATACAGAAATGATCCATTGTGTGTGTGTGTGTGTGAAATTAGCATCCATCACCCAAAGTTGATTGGCTTAATTACCTTAATGTTTTTATGGTAACTGAAAAATGGCCGACAGTACAAAGAGTATTTTGTTTTAGTATTTTTGCCCGAGAAGGGGGGGGGGATAAACAAGCCTCTAAAATAGGGCCAATTTCCAATTTTTGGCTCGTATCACCTAGAGTAGGCTGGCTCATTTACCGTAATTATATGTATGGTAACTGAAAACTGCCCAAGGTGTACATGGGATACTTTATGTTAGGATTTTTGTCCGAAAAGGAAGATAAAAAATATCCTGAAATAAGGCACATTTTCACTTTTTTTCTTTAGAGACTTTTGGCTTCAAATTTAGAGACACAAGTAGTTAATCGGTTAAATGAGTCAGTTATTACTTTGCACAAAGCAAGTTATGCAATTAACATCTAATGAGATCATTAAGTACTTAATAACAAAAGAAAGAAGGAAGTAGAACATTATCTAACATTGTCCTTTGTATAGTTTTTGCTTTCTTAATGTTTCCTAAGCTGGTATTTAACTTTCATCAGTGCTTTTCATTAGGACAAGTTACTGTATCCATAGCATATCTCTTTTTTTTTGTGGAACAGTTCTGAAAGCGATGCTGGACTTGGGGAATTTACTCGTTTTATTAACGCCAACATTTTTGGCGACAATCTAAGTTTGATGCTAGCGAAGAAACTTGATTTCTTGACTGTTCAAACGATTTGAGCATGCCTAAACGCCCCCCAGTGGCACGGCAGTATGTCTGCGGACTTACAACGCAAGAAATCGGGTTTCGATACCCGTGGTGGGCAGAGCACAGATAGCCCATTGTGTAGCTTTGTGCTTAATTCCCAACAAACAAACAAACAAGCATGCCTAAACATGTTGTCATCTTAAAAATTAAACACTACATTTTGCTTAACTATGCTACATACTACTATATGCTTACCACGACCTTTGTTGTTGTTGTTTTTTTTTGTAATTAATCACAAAGCTACACAATGGGCTATCTGTGCTCTTCCCACAACGGGTATCGAAGCCCGGTTTCTAGCGTTGTATGTCCGCGGACATACCGCTGTGCCACTGGGTGGGTACTACGACCGAATGGGAAAATTAATTTTGACAGAAGGTCCAAAATACTTCAGCTTCAATAAAAGTTAATATGAAATGCAAATAAACATCGTTTATAGGACAGAGGTTGTTTTTTTTTTTCTCAGCTAGAGCGAGCCCTCCATAATTGTGAAGTGATACATTGCAGGGTAGGCAGCTAATCAACACCACCCATCGCCAACTCTTGGGCTACTTTTTGCCATCGCATAATTGGAATGACCGTCATACCCTACGGCTGAAAGGGTGAACATGTTCGGAGACTTGTTTCGATCCCGCCACCCGCAGTTTGCGAGCCGAACGCCCTAACTACCAAACAGGCCAAGCCAGGTCTGGAGAAAGGGAAATTTAAGTAACTTACTTGAGTGAGTTCCTATCAGACTTTTTTTTTACGTTAAAACAGAAGGGGAAGAGGGTATTTAAAGTCTTGTTTCACAGTATTATAATATCTGTGGACAAGTTATCTTGTTACTCTCTGATACTTAAAAAAAAAAATACCCCGATAGTTGGGACTTGGTCCTAAAAAGTTGTTAGTTAAATGAGCTGAGCGTAGCTTAGTATTTAATGTGCCCGGGCTGTAAGTCTGAAAATATATTGTTCGCGAGCTGCTGTCGAAAAAAACACTTTCCGTAATAAGGAGTGCTAACACATTCTGCAATGTGGGATTATGGGTGCACTATAAGGAGTGCTAACACATTCTGCAATGTGGGACTATGGGTGCACTATATGGAGTGCTAACACATTCTGCAATGTGGGACTATGGGTGCACTATAAGGAGTGCTAACACATTCCGCAATGTGGGATTATGGGTGCACTATAAGGGGTGCTGATCAAATCTCACTATTTGATCAAACAACAACAATACTAAGAGCTGTTAACTATCTGCCAGTCTATAGTGTACCAGTTCAAACTTAGAGACAGAATATGCAGATAACCCTTGTGTAGGTGTTAACACAATCTGGAACAACAACGAAAACGTCAGTTAAAGAACGCCTAGTATTGAGAGCCACTCAGTTAAGCTTAATTAGTTATAATTAATATTTATTGGGTTTATCTTTAATTACCTACAATTTATTCTGTAGATTCCTTGAAGTCTCACTGTTGCTGAGTGGTGTTAATTCTCCAAACATGCCTCCAAAGTTGGAAAATAATGAGTCAGCTAGCATGGATGTTCCTAAAAAACAACACAAATCTCTTCATAAGGATCTCGTGTGGACAAATGTTTTGATTTTTATTGTGTTACATATTGCGGCACTGATTGGTTTACTTCTCTCTTTTACCGTGTCGTGGAAAGCTTGGGTACTCGGTAAGTTTGATGGTAATATTTTACTGTATATATTTTTTTACATCCAGACTTAAATTCAACTGTCCAAGAATAACGTTTCTAGAGGTGCTGGTGAGATAAATATGTCAGAAATTGGAAAATAACGAGAACTTTTTAACGATTTAAATATTATTTTTCTAGAAAGTATGAAATAAATAACGAATATTGTTGTTCCTAATATAGTTTAAAAGGTAAGACAAGGGACCAGTCAGTCTCTTTGATCCGTAAAACTTAGACATTTTCAGTTTGTAAGTTGCTCGCTTGTTTCCATAGTATCGCTATGATGTACTATATAAAGATGAAAAGCAGTCCGTCTGTCACACCGCGGCCCGGCATGGCCAGGTGGTTCGAATCCCCGTCCCACCAAACATGCTCGCCCTTTCAACCGTGGGGGCGTTATAATGTGACGTTCAATCCCACTATTCGTTGGTAAAAGAGTAGCCCAAGAGTTGGCGGTGGGTGGTGATGACTAGCTGCCTTCCCACTAGTCTTACACTGCTAAATTAGGGACGGCTAGCGCAGATAGCCCTCGTGTGGCTTTGCGCGAAATATATAACAAACAAACAAACTGTCACACAGATATCTTGGCTGCCGCGACACGTAGCGATGGCGCTTTCTGTCGCGACGAGCAAGTTTTTCTTTTTAAAATTCTTCCAGCCATATATATGTATAAAGGGCGATGCTCTACTTTAGGAATATAATTATATTTGCACACAAAAATCACAATCATTGGATAAAATTCCCCATTACATTTGCTTGGTTGTCGAGGACACACACACACACACACACTGATTAATTACCACCAAATTGTGTCCAATCCAAACCCCCAACTTCTTCCAGCCACACACACATACACATATATATATGGTGATACGCTAATTTGGGCATATTGTTAGATTTGAGGGTAGCTTGGTTGAGATTGTGATGAGCAATAAAATCGAATTGGGTATATGTGCACATAATGCTTGGTATTGCTGGCACACAAAAATTGTAATCATTGGCTGAAATTCCCCCATTACATTTGCTTGGTTGTCAAGGAGACACACCGATTAAACACCACCAAATTGTGTTCAATCCAAACCCTCAACCACATAGTAAACTACGTGTTTTATTTGCAGCCCATTTCAATTTTGAAAATGCCCAAATTAAAGCTCAGCAGGGTAATAAAGCCAAAACCAGGAAGACCCCGAAATGCCTTTTCCATCACAATCAATAATTTGCAGAATCATACAGTTGACCAATTAGGAATATGTTTTTGAGAACCAGTTTTTTTCGCGTGTTTCTGTTTATAAGGATTCGACAAGATGGAAATTTGAATGTGACGGGAAAATATACAGAAGTCAACATGCTAATCACGCAAACCAAACGTGCATAAAAAATGTTTTCGTGAAATACTAGAAACAGGATAGTCATTCTCCACACGTATATTATTACTAAATTATAATTAATTTTTAGAAAACGTGTTCATAAAACATTTATCGAGATATAAATTGGAGAAGAAAAATTAACCATTATCTCCTGTCATATGACGGATATTCAGCTCGTTTAACATATGCTTGAGAATTTTCGACACTTCCATATACATTTTCACGCATGCGCTAGATTGTAATGATACTCTGGTAACAATCGAGCAGTTTAAGAACACTGTGGCACTGCTGAAAATGACCATGTTTTACGAATCAAAGAGACCCTGGACAGTGAAAGTTTTGACCCGGAACTAAATAGACAGTAAGCTTCTTTTGAAAGTATAATAAAAACAGGGGATGAGTCACGTTTTTTTTTTGTTTTTTTTATAGCAATATTTACCAGATTTCAAAACAAAGAGTTTTGCATCATTTGTAAACAAATAAATGCTTAAAGTTTAACCAATTTTCTCTTTCATCGTTACCTAACAGACAGCTACTAGATATTACAAAACCAATATTAATTAAACCTTCAATCGTTCTGATAAAACTACCAGTCAATAAATACAAACAAAAAAAAAATGTGTAAGGAAACGACAAACCTGCTCACCACTTAGGAGTATTTCGTGTTTTTTGTTTGTAGGAGTGATAACATCTTATTGCTCGGGACTAGGAGTAACTGCGGGAGCTCATCGTCTTTGGTGTCATCGAACTTACAAGGCGGCATTTCCTTTAAGAATTCTACTAATGGTATTCAATTGTATAGCTTGTCAGGTAAGATGAGAACAGGTGTTTTTTTTTATGTCTATTAACCTTAAATCTAAACTGATTTTAGTGAACAATTTTGAAGGCGCTAGTGATAAAATTTGTGCTTTGTATTTGTTTGTTTGTTTTGAATTTCGCGCAAAGCTACACGAGGGC